CAAGTCTTGCCACCCTCGCCGATTCATCCCCAGCGTCTCTCCCCCCTGCTATCTACCGACGCCCCCTTCGGATTCATTCCGCCAACGTAGTTCGTCGGTCCGACCCCATGCCGACGATTCGAACGTGCACGCACGTCCGTCGTTACGCTCGCCGATGCGACGCTAATTAATGGACCCCTAGCGATGCGTTTTCACCATAATTGCGGAGATTCGACAGTTAAAAGATCGAAGTGTAGAATAATCCAAATATATATTTGTTTACATAATATGAATATCATTAATATTGTAATAAATGTTCAAATATTTTTAATTTAATATTAATATTTCTAATATTAATTATCTAAATTTCTAAAACTTGTACTATAAATTTGCAATTCTTAAATTGTAATTATACATTACGCTACAATGTTATCTCTTTCTACATTATATTTCTGCAATCAAAATACGATTTTTGTTATTTATTTTATTACTGCAACTGTAGCTGTATAAACGATATGTTTTCTTAGGACAGTCGAAAATTTTGTCGAAACATTCTTGTTAAGATAACAATAAAATATATGTTTAAAATAATTAGTAGATAAATCATTAGTAGATAAATCATTAATTTGAATATTTCTAATATTTTACTTCATTTCTACTTTATTTAAAAATTTGTCTTATTTATTACTAAAAATATATTTTTTTTTTATCACACATATTCCTGAATAGAGATATTTATATAGTCAATACAGATATGATTTTAATTTTAAACTTATTTATTTATTTACGATTATTCAGATAATTTCAAATTTTTACAAGTTATCTAAAAATTTACCTTCTAACTATTCCCATACCTATTCAAAATTTCAGATTTCCTTCCAACAAATTCAGTTTTTCTTTAGAAGAATAATTATATGAGATTAACATTAGTCTTGATCAATTCGAAGTGTAATCATCTTTAAAAATTCATGATAACTGCAAATTTATTAATTTTTATTGACATGTACATTCCGAACGAGGTTAAATTACTTTTAAATTACTTTTGGCTTTCCTGATGAAAATAAAAATTAGAGTCGAATTAAAAGTCAAATATAAGAAGAAAAACAAAAGCATAAACGAAAATTCTAGGAGGCGAAAATTGAAACAAGCGTAAATGCTTCTTTTACATTTCATTGTTTCAATTTTCGCCTTCTAGAAGTTTTGTTCACGCTTCTGTTACTCTCCCATTTCCGATTTACGCTCCGACTTTATTTTCATCAGGGTTCTAATTATTTTAACATAAACAAAACACCATAACAATTCATAAAACACATAGAAAAAAGTTTAAATATTAAGAACAAATAATTAATTACATTAGGAACAAATCCCCATATATATATATATATATAAAATTCAAAAAATGTTTTATATATCTTTCCCTTTATCTCTCTCGGTTTCATTCCCTTCGGTTCTTTTTTGACACATTTCGCGGGGTTGACTCGTACGGCTTATCTCTCGATTTTTGACAATGATTTCTATGATTTCACTTGCCAATGTTGCTTTTTGCATGTTTTGATCCTTGAATCATGTGTATTATATTGGGAAGCACTGTGTGTAACAGAGATGATCCTAGAATTATCGGAGAGAAATAGAGAGTGAACTTTTATTACATCTCAGTCACATGGCCAAGTTAGGTTAGGTTAAGTTTAGGTTGACGCCCCGTCGTGCAGTGCAGCGATAATGCTGCTATTGTCACCGCAACGCGGAGATGGTGCGTTTAGGTTAGAGTTACATCGGTATTGTCAAACACATCAACGGACCGACACGGTCCATGCCACATCTGTGATACGACGTGTAACGAGGTTAAAGAACGGCAGGGCGATCATGACCATGTCATATCTGCGTGATTGGCGACAGGCGTTGCGCGCCCCGCACGTCTACCGGGTGGCGAACAGCACGTTTCGCATCCAGGGCCCGTTCGTGATGTTGATTCTTCTGGTTCTGAGCGTGCCGACTTTTTTCCTTCTGTATCCACTGCTGCACGGCTTCATATGCTCGCCGCCAAGCCAGACTCTGGCACAATGTCGTTACTACAAATACAACCGAACGTATCCTACCTCGACACCCATCAAAACCTCCAAGGGTATTACCTATAGAATAGCGATAGTGAGCGACCTTGATCACGACTCCAAGCTCGTAAATAAGAAAGACACATGGCACAGTCTTATGAGGACTGGCAGTCTCTATTGGAATCCCAACAGTAATTTTCTATCTGTTATATGGGATGATAAAACTATCATACTGTCTTCGTCGTTGTCTATGAAAGGACGCGGAATGGAGCTGTCAGAGTTAGTGACTTTTGACGGCCGTTTGCTGTCCTTCGATGATCGTACAGGAATGATATATTTCATCGAAGGCAATCAAGCTTATCCTTGGATTATTTTGATGGATGGCAATGGTAAAAATCACAAAGGTAGGTTGCTTAGTAAATTATTATTGAGTCACTCGTACACTGAGTACGCATTAGCTTGTTTCATGTAAAGTATCTAAATGCAGTGATATAACAACTTTTGCCTATTTCTGTTAGTATAGATTAACTTTAATCTTAGTTCAACTTACTCTTCATCTTTTTCTAATTCTTAGAAAAATATAGTTAAAGAGTTAGGTGAATCACGATTAAAATTAAACTGTATTGGTAGATGTATATTTGACAATGAAATAATATATGTATGTTCTATTAAATAATGTGACAGTATCATTATTGAGTATTTAATTGTTTAAAATATTCATATATTTTTATACTTATCTTTAATTTCATGTATAGCAGCTTGTAGTATGCACTAATCTAATGTAATGCAAAGTGAATTCGTTATACGATTTGATACTGTCATTGTTTCTGGAAATTGCAAAACTCATAACATTAAACATAAATTAACAGTAATATGACATTAATATTATAATTTTCATCAACAATATAAATGTAATATAACATTGTAACAATTATATTGTTGAGTAGAAAATTATAACATTGATGTTACTTTATTGAGGATGTTTTTCTTACTAAACTTTTATATTTACATGTAGGCTTTAAATCCGAATGGGCGACTATCAAAGATGAACAATTATATATTGGCAGTATGGGAAAGGAATGGACCACACCGTCCGGTGAATTTGAACATAATAATCCGTTATGGGTTAAAGTAGTGTCACCACGTGGCGAAACGCATTCCCTCAATTGGATTTCTTACTACAAACGATTAAGGCAAGCGATTAACATCGAATATCCAGGTATGCTGATATTTATAATTTGTGAATGCTCGAATTAATTTATCATACGTATACTTTGCGTAGGTTACATGATACATGAATCTGGAACTTGGAGTGATATACATAAGAGCTGGTTTTTTTTGCCTAGAAGATGTTCCTATGAACGTTACAATGAAACACGGGATGAAACAATGAGCTGCAATGTTATGTTGACTGCAGATGAAAATTTTGTTGACATTAAAGTGCGTTTTTAATTATATCAAATATTAGTATTTTGATAAATAATAATAATTATTTAAAATTCATTATAGGTTATTTATATCGGAGATCTAATCCCAATCAGAGGTTTTTCGAGTTTCAAGTTTCTTCCTGGCTCGCAAGATTCTATCATAATAGCTTTAAAGACTGAGGAATATCAAGGACATACTGCTACATATATCATGGCCTTTACGATAGAAGGAACGATAATAATGCCCGAAAATAAAATAATGGATAAAAAATTTGAAGGACTGGAATTTATATGACCCTTAGGAATAGTTGTTAATTATTTAATGAAAATTGTAAATAAATGTACAGAATACATAGTCTTAAGTTTCTACAATGAGATAAAATTATTAAAAAGTTAAAATCGTTCTTTTGAATGACCATTACTGTTACATTTGGAACTCCAGAGTACAAATTTTATTCTCATCGACATTAAATGCCGGATAATAATTGTAAATACATGTATATGCACGACTCTACGTACTGATATTGTATAATTCTATTCGTATATAAATTTACGATTGTGTTAAAAAATACAGGAATATATGAGATACATTACTTATATTATGTGTTTTTATTGTGTCATGTTGAAATAATGCTTTGATATTTAGAAAATTATAATTCAAACAAATATTAGAAACACAGCAAAACCGCGTGAAAAGATCCTGATATCTCAGATTTTTTGTTTTTACATCCTTTGAACTTTTTACGTTTTCATGACAAATTTTTTTTTCTCTTGTTTTTCTCATTGTGCTTACCGCGCGCGCTCAGAGTTACAATATGCACTTCTATGCCAAAATCAATAATACAAGTATATCTCCAGTCTGGAAGTGGTGGCAGCAGCACTGCGTTTCTTCAGCAGAGTTTAGTCAACCCGATGCACGGCAAGGATACGGTTCGCGGCTTGAAAATGTGCCGGAATTCGCGTGCATTTGTTATACAATGTTCGTTTACAGTTTTTTCGAAAAGTGACACTATTCCGGTAGTATGTCAGTGTATGGTAGTATGTCGGATAATTATCGAAATTTTGTAAGAAACGGAAGTGGCATTGAAATTTAGCATCGTTAAATGATTTTTCCTGCAATCAGTATTTGCATTTTACATCCAGATAAAATTCGCATAATAAACTCGGTTCATATATCAAAGATCTCGAGGAACAACACACTCAGCGAAAAATTCCAACTGTTCATTGCTCCGTACATAAATTTTAATTTTAAAACAATTTAGAAAAGAGAAATGAATGCATCAATAGAGATTAAATGATCATATATGACGACAGATCTTATATAACAACTGCATAAGACTTGATAGCTTAATTAGATCAAATATCTGCATCTAATCGAGATAAGCGCATTGTATGCGAATGGTAGGTTCGTTCTAATGGCTCAATTTGCTGCGTCGAAAAATCAAAATTCTGGGATAAGCAAAATTAGATTTTAAATATACATTAAAAATAGCTCTTCCTGCTTTGTGGCTTATCCAAGGAGAAAATGCGGTAAGGATGCATCGCACATCGATCAGTGATGACCGCAACGCGGCACTCTCGTGATGTAAATGTACAGGATATATTCCGCGTACCATGTATATATTTTCCGACCGTTGAACTTGTCTTTTGAAACAGCAATAAATCAACAATCATCAGTATGTTTGTACGAATAAGTGACCTTGATGTAAATTATCGACTGACAATCCCGCATAGTGGAAAGATGCTTTCCATTTGACGAACACGTAGCCGACAGTCTCGAGAGAAAGATTTTATTCGAATAGCTTTTTGAAATTTTTTTCACTGGAATAATACAACTATGGCGGAAGACGCGATGAAGGACTGGAAAATCGCCAGGACCGGCATCTCTCTGTTGCTGAATAACAAAACTGAGGAAGCTGAAGCTTTGTTTATTGAGCATCCTCATAGCTTCCATGTCAAAGCAGGCCGTTGTTTTGTTCTCTTCATGGTACGTAATCGCGTGATGAGCCATATCGATTCCATTCTGCATTCTGTGGAAGTACGTTTAACTCTCAAGGCCGCGAAAGAATGTTATTACTTTAATAGGTTTTAATAATAAATTGCGAACATTACGTTCGTGCATCGAAAAATATAAAATCGATACTGATTGATTCTACCTCGGACCAGACGAATCAAATAAAATTGGTAATCTACAATTCCATTACGGTATAATAAAATCATGAGACAATGAGCGCGCTTTGCTTTGATAATCTTTATAACAAATACATGAAGCACACCTTGAATATTTTAACGCCTGTAGTTGATAGTAATTTTTAATGCATTTGATGAATTGTGTAGAATGCCCTGATGACTTTTGAAGAGGACAAATTTCAGCAAGCCACATTATTACTTAAAGATATGGAACGAGAATGTGCGGGCGATATAGGATGGCTGAAATCTGTAAAAAGTAAAGTGTTTAGAGCCGAAGAAACTGATGTAAGTTTTCTCACAGCAGGATTATTAATATAATATTTTATATTGTTTATGCTTGCCATCAATCAAAGTATCCTCTTTCTATACATACATATTAATTATTGATGAATATTAAATGTGTTTCAAATCCGAAAGTAATCGGTGCGTTATAGTCATACATATATTTGAAGTAAATATATTTAAAATAAATTACATATAGAATTATTATTCCAACGTCTATACCTATCAATTTTTACTAATTGATTTATTCACATAACGATCTTGTTCTAACTTATTATAATTTTATTTAGTTCTAATTTTCTAATTTACATCTGATATCAGATGCAAGCAAGATCTCGGCGATTATCATTGATCGTAATAATAAAAACTAAAATTCATATAAAATATAATTTTTGTATCCAGTAAAAAACATCAATTAACATTAACATATAATTGTTAGTTATCATTTCTTACTTAACGATATAACATATTACATTACAACGTTAGTAAGAAATTGTAACTAATATTTGTGTTAATATTAATTAGTGTTTGTTGAGTATAGTATCGAGACTTCAATTTAAATTAGCATTATACCATTCGATAAATTTTGATTATCGATACACTGATATAACGTATCAGGCACCATAAAAAATACTTATACTCATTTAGTAAACTCACGAGACGATTAGATTAATAAAAAAAAAAGAATTAATTATGAAATTAATTTCAGAAGGACTATGTGAATAAATTAGAGCGTCAAATAGTTCTAGCAGATACACAGGTGTTCTCAGCTGTGTCATTGTTTCTTCAACAAGAGTTAACTGGATACGTTCGTGGCTGTTGGATGCTTCGCAAAGCTTGGCGTGTTTATCAACACGCGTACACTCAAATCTCGCAATTATATCGTCGTACCTTCGGTACAAATCCAACTGGTGCGTTAAGACCTCTGATAAGATTTATAAAATTAGAAAGATCAGCAAATTATAATTTCGATCATAACAACTTTGTGAGATTTGTAAATAAATATTTAATCATAACAGCTATAGTTTTATTAAATGAAATCTAAAGAATTAATAAGAATTCGATGAATAATTAATCCTTATATGATTGTTTTTTTTATCACTTTTTATATATAAATTAATGGAGCGTTTTTAACAAACATATTCCATAAATATATTCAACGTTTTTACAGAAATCAGCCCATGTTGTATCAATCCGAGCAACGGGTCATCTCTGCAGAGTCCGCAGAGCCCGGAATCTTCGGAATGGTCAATACCATCCTGCAACGGTTACACGAATAACGTGACACCCATGTCATCACCATCAGGTCTGCGAAGCTCTCTATCAATGTTCTTCTCGCTCACTGGCATCACGTCTGAACAACAGACACCGTAATTGTTGTTTCTTCTTACTCAAAAATTCTCGTTTCTTTTGCCCATTATCCTCTCCTTCTAAGAGAAAGGCATTGCATGTTGGCACCTATCGACACATTTCACGGAATGCTCGATTGGATTTCCGATCACATCAACATGATTTGTAATTTTGATAAACATACACTGCTTCATAAATTCGCTTTGCGAAAGTGAAATTTGTGGTTAGCTTTGATCACTTTGCTTTTTTCCTCCCTCGCTCACACGGTCTATGCTCGCGCAAGTCGTACTTAAAAATAATAATTAAGAATATATTTCGCAGCTTTGTGGAACCTTCGGAGGTGACACGTTTAATGTCAGCCGCAAGTTTCGGTTACGGTGTATACCAACTGTGCGTGAGTCTTTTGCCACCGTCTGTGCTGAAAGTGATCCACTTCTTTGGCTTCGAGGGTAACAGACAGTCTGGTCTTGCTGCTCTTATGTATGCACGACTTGGCGAAGATATGCGCGCACCACTCGCTACGTGAGTGTATTATGGATTTCGAATGTTTTCCCTTAAGTGTATTTTTTTACAAATTAAAATAATTGAACACGTGCAAAATATTAGTACCTTAAAAGCATGATATTTAATATTATCCTTTTTTATATCGAATCTTTTTTTCTATAATATATTTTTCTATAATTGGGCGTATACTGACTCTCGTTTATATTAACTTTGGTGGAAAAAAAATGTTTACGAAAAAGTACATAGAATACAGAAAAACTATATAGATTAAGACAAGATCTTAGAAATTCTTAATTTTTCATGGATATTTGTAGTGAGGACGTAGAGTTGTTTGAGGGCAGAGGATTTCTACACGGAGAGAATTTTGTTTTAAAGTTTACTCTGAAAATATGGTAGTTGTGGTACAATATAATACTTTCAAGATTTTTATTACGCACTTCAGTAAAATTAATTAAACTTATTTTATACTTTATTATAGTTTTAGTGCTGAATAATTCTTGAAAATACAATGTTGTCCCACAACTATCATATTTTCAGAGTAAACTCTAAGAAAAAATTCTCTTCATGTAAGTTTTTCAAAGAAACAACGCTGCTCTACATCTCACTACGAATATATATATGAAAAACTAATAATTTCTAAGATTTTGTCTCAATCTATGTAGTCTTTCATAATTCTGGGAAATTTTCTATATAATACGGTTAGTCAATAAGTTACTATTTTGTCGTAGATTATCTCTACTTTGGTATCATACGATTGTACGTCCATTTTTCGCGTTGGACGGGTCCAATGTAAAAGCGGGGGTCGCAGCAGCGAAGCAGTTGATAGCTGAATGTCATGCCGAATTCCAGAATTCTGCCCTTTTTCTCTTTTTCGCTGGCAGAATGGAACGTTTGGAGGTATTAATATTTGAGTACCAAATTATTTTCTATAATTTCTTTTATAATTTATGTTGTACAGTTAAATTCTCATTCATCTTTCAATCATATTTTTAAAATATATTATTAAGATTTTTATTATATACAAACTTTATTTTATACAAACATGTAATATTTTTTTCATAGTTTTATTCATAGTCGATATATTTAAGACAATCTTACCATATGGTATTATGAACCAGAACAACTTAATTTATATTAGCATCTTCATACATTATTTAAGATGGTCTTAAAATAAAATGGATTATGAATGCCGCACTCAAATGTGTTTAAATATCTAGTTACTAGTAGAAAAAAAATTTATCATGCTTACAATTAATGAATCAGATTTGCCAGTCGACACCAACTAAAAATAATATAATATTAATATGTATATGTTTAATTTCGCACTCAGCGATATTGCGATATAAATATAATATAACATAGTAAATGAATAGTTACATTGTTGAATTATAGAGAAATTATAATATCGATGTTTTATTACTTTTGTAAGTTAATAAGTTAAAATTTCATAAGTTGGTATCAATTGGGTGAATTCTCAATTCTATATATTTCGACTTTAATATAATATTATTCATTGTTGCATGATTCAATCGTTTCACAGACAAATGTCGATGCAGCTCTAGAAGCGTTCGGTAAAGCTGTGGAAGTTGCAACTCAGAGGGAAGTCAAACTATTGTGTTTACACGAGGTAGCTTGGTGCCATGTGATACGCTTGAGCTACGATGAAGCGTATCGATCCTTATTGCAGTTACAACAGCAGTCGAGATGGTCCAAGGGCTTCTACGCGTACTTAGCCATGGGTAACTTATCACCCCGATGCCTGAATAAATAGATTCAGATTTTTTTTTATACTCAGTTTATATCATGTTACAGTTTGTTGTGGAGCGAATGGAAAGTTTGACGTTCTCCTATCGCTGTATGGCAAGATACTTCCTTGGTTTCATGAAACGAAAAACGAATCGCAACTCGATGTTTTTATCATGCGCAGGCTGCCAAAAATCGTTGATAAGGAAACTGGACATCCTTACACAGTTCTGTATTATAAGTTGCTCGTATACGAGTCATTATATTTGTGGAACGCTCTTCCGTCTTGTTCCACTGAATCGCTACGAGAAATATCTCATGGTAATAATAGATTAATTTTTAATCATTCGTTTTATATTTTAAAATGTGTAAACAATAAAATTGCAATTTGTAATTGCAATTTAACATAGAAATCGAGAAATCATCTGAAAAATTGAGATGCGATTTAAATATTTTATGATAACTTGTTAATCTTTGCACAAAAAATTATTATTATCTTACGTATTATGTAATTTTATTATCAGAATGCAAGGAAAATCATTCCGAGGAGCCAATGGTGGGTTTGACTGATCTTATTGAAGGCGCAGCATTTCTTTATCTGGGGGACACCGAAGCGGCCATTAAAAGTTTCCGAAACTGTCTTAAATGTAGGTATCCGTCCAAGGACGAGTACGACCAACATGTCAGCGCATTTGCGTTGTATGAATTAGGAAGTAGCCTTAATAGCAATAACGTAAGTATACTTTAACATACACATCTATATTTTCGTCTATATATTAATTTCTTATTTTATTGTCTCATATTTTAGAATCCTAATGAAGGCAAAAATTTCCTGTCAAAAGCGCAAACTCAGTACAAAGATTATGACTTTGAAACTCGACTCAATTTGCGTATACATGCCGCCCTGAAAAATATATAGTGACGTTAAGCGTATAATATTACATCATAATGTGAGATAGTTTTAGTATCGAAAAAAATAATAATATTTGGATACTACAAAAGTAACATTTTGTATATGTCTGTCGTCCATGATCTTGTTATTTTATTTAATAATAAAGATCAACGAAGATCAGATTTAGGTGATCACCAAAGTGTAAATATAATTTTATGGATCTTTTCTTTTTATTTTATTAGTATTATGCTTTACGTATAAGATATTGTTGCAAATGTAATTCTATGCATATAATTTCTAAGATAAAAGATACTTTAAAGCAGACGAACATTCTGTCATATACAATTTATCATGTTATTTAAAGCGAGATTTTATTTGCAAAAAATGTACTAAATTTTGCAGCAGATCATAGCAATTTATACGAAGTAAACAAGTCATAATATTACATTGTAATATTACAAGTATTACGAGTATTCTTCTATCCCGTCTAAAAAAATATATGCAATATCTGTAAATGGAATTGGATCACAATTTTTTGCATAACTATTCGAAAAAACTGCTCGCTTGGAAAATCATGTATATGTACACGTTTTAGCATTGTTTATAATGTCTACATTCCTTGTACATATCTTGTACACCTACAAATAAATTACATGAAAATAGAATGACAAAATATATTTGAATATTTCATTAAAAGAGAATGAATCTTTTCTTTCAATCCAGAACTGTTTGATATTTATTTATCGTTTTCATGTTTTTTTCTTCCCTGTATATTTACATGTTCTGAATCGTGATTCATTTTTTTTGCAATATATCGATTATGTAGATATATGCGATGCCGATTGTCAATGACTGTCCAAGTTTAAATACACACTAACAAAGATATTACGAATAAAAATACGCATAAAAAGCATTACAAATATCTAACAATTTTATTTTATCAACTTAGCTTAGTATTTTCTAAGAGTATTTTTTCTGAGAGACATAATTACGTGATGAAACGACGCTGATGAGCGCGCGGAACGCCTTCTGTTGCGTTAACGCAGGAAATTATCCGAGTGTCCCAGCAAATTGCCATCAACGATCCTCTTGGTACCATAAACTCATCAAACCTTTCGCTTTCTGTGTCATTACGTCAATGCTCGGTACGAAATCTTTAATGAATTAACTTATAAAAATTTTCGATCGGTTTTCTTGATATCTTTATGCGATCGATTTATAAAATTTAGTATAAATTTAATTTGTATGTCAAGGAATTCCGTTATTTTTAGCGATATCTGTATCCCATCTCTGCGATAAATATGCTGCAAATGCATCATTAAAAATGATTAAGGCAGACTTGGGAAATCTCAGATCTCATTTGGATACTCTCTCGGTAATTATTTGTTTTTTTATCACAATATTTTTTCAAAGTAAATATTTTTTACTTTAATATTGTTACACGATATAATTGACGCTTATTTTATTGTAAAAAAAAATTTATTATATTATATTTCTGCAAAAATTGCATTAGTTAGAAGTAAAGAACGTAATGGAGATGCGTGATGAGCTGAAGAGCAAATTGAAGGAAGTAGGCAGCGTGATTCCAAAAATGTCAGAAGCCATTCTCAATCTGAGGAATGAAGTGTCCGAAGGTAAGAAAGGTGCGATGTATAAATATTGACCGGATGCTGCACTTAGTGCAGTGGCATTTTTCTTGACATCAAATATATCGACTAAATAGAGCGATGTATTATGCTTATTTACATCGTAAACGTTCGCAATGAAAGCCTTTCTCTTTGTATCATTCACGCGCGTCTAATTTTATTTCATTATATTTTTATATTTTTATTTTTATTGTTTTATATTTATATTTTTTTATCTTTTTATTCAACAAATGATTTTGCAAGTTTCTAACATTTCTCACAAGTACGCGTTACAACAGAAATGAGTCTGCATATGAAGAATTTGCTGAAAGCTTTGTCACCGGAGACCGTTAGAAATATGGTGAAAAATGAATTACAAACATATGACGCCGACAAAACTGGAAGAACGGATTACGCTCTTGAAAGTTCAGGTTTTATCCAATAGTCTATTTTTACGTAGTTTTTTTTATACAGAATATGTTAATTAAAGGGCGCTCTGCTGCGACCTGCTAACAATTTCATGCGTAAGTAGGATACTTACATACAAAGGCATAAGTGGCCTTTTTATTTCTTTTTTTTAGTCTACTTGAAAATAACTTGCACTTTTTGTACTTTTGTAACTTTTCCCAGTAACTATCATATAATTTTATTAGTTACAAAGATATGCAATACATTTTTTTTGCAATCGCAAAATTATCTTTTTCCCATAAATAGCTTCCTTGATAATTTCCATTAATAGATATTTCCTTGATCGTTTGGAATAAAAAAAGATTATAAAAGAGGGCATAATAATCTAGGTAAAGCATAGAAGCCATAATAATCAAAGAGAATTGATTCTTTCTGATAATAATATTATAAAAACGTCATCATAAATTCATTTATAAGTGACAAATGAAGTGAAGTTGTGAATGTTCTATGGTTATTATGACTATATTCTATTAGGATATTCTACCCAGGAATACATTTTTGATCGCATCATCATAGTTCTTTCCGCAGGCGGTGCGATTCTTTCGATACGAGATACCGAACCATACTCGATTGGTGCACCTGTACTCAGTCTATTTGGCATACCACTTTGTCAACAGCAGAACACACCCCGGGCTATGATACAGGTTATCTGACTATATTTAATATCACTGACATTCTGATCCCAATGTATTTACCAGACCGGCGTTTTGCCGGGCGAATGCTGGGCCTTCAAGGGCAACAGGGGCAGCGTGGTGATTCGATTACTCGGCCATGTGTACGTGTCCGGAGTTAGCCTTGAACATATCTCTTCATTGATATCCCCTACTGGGGAAACTGCTACGGCGCCAAAAGATTTTTCTGTTTGGGTGAGCTGATATACAACTATACATGTAATATTATACATAATTTGTATATTGTAATATCGTTAACAAATATATCTTATCAGTATTTATCATTATATGTATAAACATACAAACATCATATTTAGTACTTCAAACAACTGTCGCATATTATATATATTGATTTTAGGGTTTGTCAGATTTGGATGATAAGAAGCCTTTCTCATTTGGCAATTTTACATACGATAATACTGGTTCGCCGTTGCAATACTTTGAGATTCAGGTAGAACAATAGGCTTTTATATAATTAACATTTATCTTTGGAGTTCTCAATTGTTAACTTTTCAATTACATGAGATAAAAAAATTGTTTATAGAATCAAATAAAAAAAGCATACGATATAATCGAAGTAAAAGTACATTCTAATAGTGGTAATCCAGAGTACACATGTATCTACAGAATACGGGTGCATGGAACACTTAGTGAAACGTATCAAGTATACGAAAATCATATTTTTTCTAAAATATTATTGTTCTCTTACTTCAAAAGCGACATAAATAAAAAAAGTCTTTTCAGAATATGAGAAAAACTATTATTCAACGTAACAGAAAATTATTGAGCAATCAAATATCAGTAAAAAAAATATATATTTTAATATATCCAATGTTATCTTTGTTATTTTTTAATTCACAATTCTTTAAAAAATTACTCTTAATTGTGACGATTTTAACGACTTTTAAAAGAATTTTTATTTCTTTATAATTATGATTTTAACAATTTTTTATAATATTAAGTTACCTCACTTTTGATGAATGATAAGATAATGTTTATCTAACTCATAATAACAAGTCGAAAATCATGTTACCTAAATTGTCACTTTTGAAGTAAGAAAGTGGCAACTTATATAATAGTTTTATCAAATGAAATTCAATAAAGGATCACATCAATAAAATGTAACTCGATTGAATTTAATAATAATAATAATAATAACAATAAATTATCATTGTAACTGACAGGCTGCTCGTTAATTGACCTCGTTGATGTGCTCAATCAGCATCAGTTGCGATTTGAAATCAAAAAATCTTACCTGTACACTATCGAGTAAACGCTGAATGTAAATCAGGACAGTGATTGCTTAATAAAAACAATAGGTTCAACGTAATCGTCGCACGATTTATTACATTTGTACATATTTAGTTTTTCCTTCGAACTCTCCGCTATCTCGAATCTCTCATCATGCGTTCTCTATCGCACACGTACCCCACATTTTTATCGTACTCTCCGGCTTCATGTGGTGGAGCGAGGCCAAAGTTTCGCATCTCACCAGTCATTAAGCGCAGGATATCAGGCAGAAAACTTTTCCTGGCGGTTCTACACCGACCAGTTACACATCTCATTACCGTAATTAAAATAGCATATTATATATCTTGGGAGGAGGGAGGGGGGGAGGGGGGCCAACCGCGGCCCGATCTTGATTTTCCGCTTCTCCTCGTTATATTTATTAATTTTTTAGTTTTATCATTTTTTATTAATTCGACAATTATGCACTGCCTTCTCTACAGGCGAAGAACAGACTCGAGAGGCACGCTGCGAATTTTGATACGACATTCCTCTTTCCATATCATGCGTGTATATATA